AAACCCCTGTGGAAGATAAATGCTTGCTCACGTGATAAGGATGGATTGGTTCTCCCGATCTGGAAGAGAGAAGAGGAGAGACAATGGGTTGGGGGCTAGGTGGGGGCTCGGGTGAGGGAGACACAGGCCAGGACACCAGGCTCACCTGTCAGCATGTACTGATAGGCGTTGTCAGAGATAGAGAAGATGTGGGGCGGGGCCTCGCTCCTCTTCTTGCCCCTGTAGGCAGCCACCACTTCAGCATTATACACTGGCAGCCACTTATAGGGGTTGACAGTGACGCAGAAGAGGCCCGAGTAGGTCTGGGGGTGAGGAAGAGAAAGCGTGTGAGGGTGATTTTCAGAATTCGAGAAAGACCCCCGGAGAGGAAGAAAGCAAAGGGAGAGCTCAGAATGTGTGCAGCGGAACCATTCCAGTGTTACAGCTGAGCCAAAGGGGCAGGAGCCTGTGTAGAGCGCCTTGTTCCTGGCTTGGCTTCAGGAGGCTGCTCTTGCCCAGGAAGCCCTAGGTTCTGGGGGACAGGCTGGTGCCACACTCACGTAGATCATCCAGGAGGCATAGCGCTCCTTGAGGTTGTACAGCACGGCCGGCTCGTGCAGGAAGGTCAGCATGGCCATGTCTTCAATCTTGTCGAACTTGGGCGGGTTCTGCTGTAGCACCTGGTCCTCTTTTATGGTCACCGTCTGGATAAGGAGAGTGGGTGATGGGATGGGCGATCCACTTTCCCGTGGGCTCTTGTTGGATCTTCCTCTTCCCAGGACACAGCTCTGACTTGCTATCATTCCCCTAGTTCTGAGGGGACAAGGGTCCCAGCTTCCTGCTCTTAACTCCACTAGGACTCAGGCCCCAGGTGGTTTCTTGCCCACGTCCTAAAGATATTCTAGGGTTTCTTTCTCTTGCCAACCCCGTCCCTATCCAGTGACCATCTCTGTTTTAAATATATAAAGGCAAAGCTGGGGACTAGCGGCTGTAGAATCGGGGTCCACTTGTCATGTGTGACTCTTGGGCTGTCTCCTGGACACAGTTCTCAAGGGCACCGCTGCTCGAGGAGAACCTTCCCCCTATGGGAAAGCAGCACACCCCAACTCTGGACTCCTCATCAGTCGCAGTTGGGGCTCAGTTGCTATCAGTTTCCTATGCCCTGATGCCAATAGCATCTGGCAATAGAGATCCAAGTGTTTTTACAGTGGAAGTGGATGTGCCTTCACAGTGGCCAGAGTGGGCTGAACCAAGACGGATTAGAAACCTTTGTGGGTTGTAGCTATCGATCCACACATCCTTGTGAAGCAAACCTGTGAGGCACACAGCCCTGAGCCCTGCTGGTGACAGGGTGAGAGTCTCATGGGTAGACCGAGCACCCAGGGAAAGGGGGCATTTAGGTGCGTTAGGATTCAGCTCTGAGTTCAAAATTTCTGCTCTTTCTGCTCATCTGGGCCTGCATCTGCTCTTGGCTTAGGGGAAGGGAATTGGAGAAAGGGGATTCTTGGGGGGAAACTGAGGCACAGACAGGAGGGATGCAACTGCCAGAACAGAGGTCTGTCTTTAATGTCGTTCTTGGGTCCTTAATCTACAGCCCTCCCTGCGGAGGAAGACAGCATCCATCCTTTCTGGGTTACCCTGAGATGCACCTGCTTAGGTTCCCCTGAGAAGGTTCTGATCCTGGGTTTCTCAAGGGAACATACCTTGGCATTCCCACCTTCTTCTCAGGCTCTTTAGATCCCACTAGAGGTGGCTCCACCCTGACCCCTCTCCCAAAGCTGCCCCACCTCACCCCTGTCTTGCCAATAGTGCACATACCTTGCCATTCTCAGTTTCGGCAGTGACTTTGCCCCCCTCCCGGGACACTATCTTGGCTTTGACATACTCCTCCTTGTCATCAGGCACAAAGCATTCTGTGCGGATGTCAAAGGGCCGAGTCTGGGCCTCTAGGCGTTCCTTCTCTGATTTGCGAAGGTACTGGGCCGCTGCCCCAAAGTCAGCCATTTGGGCATCCGTCATCTTGTCTCCTTATGGGGGAGATGGGAGGGACCTGTCATTCCTGGTGCGGGCCAGGCTTCTATGTAGCCTCATCTTCCCTACCCCACCCCTGCACTGCCTCTTCTGTACCAGTTCCTAAGGATCTGCCACCACTGCCCCATGTAAAGCGCCTGCCTCCCCAACCTGTCTGCCTTGCCTGTGAAGTCCTCTGCAAGAGGTCTGTATGGGGTAGGAGTGGCTAAAGTTTGTTAAGGGAGGGTGCTGGGTTGCAGGGGCTGGGGGAGAGAGGTCTGGTAGCCTGGCTTCTGGAAGAATCATGACCCGCTGTCTGCAGGGAAAACTTGGGGGCATTCTCACCTGGCTAATCTTTTCACAGATAATCCTGAAGAATTTGAACCACAGCTGGGATGAGGCTCCACAGAGCTGCAGCCGGACAGAAAGAATAGGCAGGGTGGATGGAGAACAGCAGATGTCGGCGGGCAGGCGGAGAGTCCGACCCAGAGATCCTGACTAGGCTAGAACAAGCCAAGATAGGGAGTGAGGCAGATAAGAAAGGACGCGGCGTGGTTGAGGCTGTGACTCACTGGTAGACTGCTTACCTAACATGTGTGAACCCTGGGTTTAATTCCCAGCACTGTGACATAGAAAGAAAGGAAGGATAAACATGAGAAGGGGGCAAAGGGAGTGAGAAATGGGTGGGAAAGGGAGAACACACAAGAAGGAAAGGCAGAGAGACAGCAGAGAAGCACCATCAAGGCAAATCTTGCTGAAGACCAGGAGGCAAGACAAGACCAAGATAAGGAAAGCAGGCCCAGAAGGGAGAATGATGTCCGGTCATCTGATGCTTCCTGTGGAACCCCTGCCAGGGAGACCTTCCCAGACTGATGGAAAGGCCATCCTAGCAGATAGATCTCTGGGGAAGGCGGCTTCCTTCTAGCTGGGGACAGTCTGGTGTGGCTAGAGAGCCCCCCACTCTAAACTCCCTCTTACCTGGGCTGCAGAAATCTCTGTCTGAGGGCTCTCGAGGCTCCAGTTCCTTTATATCCCATTTCGCGTGCCTGCTGCCTAAATTTGGAGTCCATCTGGAGGACCCTCCCTCCCACTCTCTCCTGGCTCCTCCTCCTTTGATCCCTTGGCTCTGGAGGTGACAGGAGGACAGCAGGGCCCCAAGGTTTGCCCATGAAAGGTCTGCTGCCCTAGCCCCTCGAGCTCCAGGGCCTTTTTTTAGTCCGTGGGCACATTCCTCCTCCCCAAAGGGCCGATGGGCAGAGGAGGGGAGACCCAGACTGTCGCACCTCCCCACGCACATGGCCCTTACCTCAGTTATTTTTAAGCTGAAGGGTGAACTGAGCACACTGGGTAAGGGTCACCTTCTCTCATGGGCCTAGTATTTATCCGCTACCTTCAGCTCACAGGCTTCCTCCCCTCGCCTTCCACCCTGGCTTTCTGCACAGCTCCAGGCTGAGGGGCTTCGCCCACTCTCTCACACCCGGAGTTCCACAGCGCTAGATCCCAGGGGTCAGAGTCAAAATGTTCAGGGAGGGCATCTTGTTCAGGTGCAAGACTCAGTTTCCCTTTGTTAGTCAAAGAACTCTCTCTCTCTTTCCTCCTCCCTCCCCCCCCTCCTTCTCCCACTCCTTCCCTCTTCCTCTCTCTCTCCCTCTCCTTACTCTGTCCAGATGCTATCTATGGTCTCTGTTGCCCATGTCTCTAGACAGATACCCTCTAAAGGCCTTGCTCCTTCGGTTTGGGACACATATGGAGTCTTCATCCTGTTCTTGCTTCTCCCATCTCTTTAAACCATGGGAGGGACTTACCCCATTCTGCCTTGGGCATTTACATACAAACTTGCAGACTAGTAAACTTCACATACAGAACTGAATGGCTGCACATCCATGCCCATTTTCAGACACACACACACACACACACACACACACACACACACACCCCTTTTACACTTTAACCCAGTTAAGCTTGCAGATTTTCTTTCTTGCTTCTACACATACTGATGCATAGATCTGCACCCCCATGTTTGGACACACAGGTTTTTACTCTCCTTCAACCCTCCACTCTTGATGGGACATGGGATGGTGGAAAGGCCAGAGGTGTTAATCCTGGGGCTGACGGAGGAGGGGTGTAAGTGAGGGGTTGCTCCCTTCCGCCCCTCCAAGCTGCCAGAGGATGCAGGTGCTGCTTATGGCTGGCTGGGGCGCCTGGCAGGCCCAGAGATTTATACCCGTTGGCCCCAGGCTCCGAATTCCATGGGTGGGGGCTCTGCAGACTTTCCCCTTGCCAGGTAGAACTCTGGTACCCCTTTCTAGCCCTCCTGGGCCTTATGCTCACATGCCTTCTTTGGGGCACTCTCAAGCACTCAAACCCTAGAGATCCTCCCTGTCCTCTAGGGCTGCCATTTCTCAGAGGCCGTAGGTGTTAGGCCTTTAGCAGGCATTGTGTTCAGGGGACAAAGCCAGACTTCCCTACTCTGGCTTTCCTTCCACCCTCACACCCAGCTTCCACCCCATCTACTGTCACCTCTCAATATAGCTCTAGAGTGTGGAGGTGGGTAGAACACACAGCGGTCAGTTTCTCTGGGTATGGCACTCTCAGCCAGTGATGTGGTGTCCTCCCAAGGTCACCAGCCCCCTAAGATACTTCATTGCCCCATCATGGGCTCAGGGACACACGCGTTCCTCCAGGGGTCTTAGATCTTGCACGCTTGAAGGGTCCTGAGCCAACCTTGCATTCCCATCTGCAGGTGACTGAGCCAAATGATTGCCCTCTGGGGATGCAAGCCACTTGTCTGCAGCTAGGTCACTGGAGGTCACTGGAGGCCACTGTGTGCAAGCTGCAAGATTAGCCTATGGCCTAATATGTCACTGCCTGGTTTCAAGGTCCTGAGGACATGATAAGGGACTGAGAACGTTGGGTCAGCGTGGGTCAGGTCCAAGTGACAAAGACCAGGCTCTGTCCTCAGGGAACCCTGCATGCCAAGCAGGCCAAAGTTGGTGTAGGTAGTGGGGGCCCATAGAGGGTTGTGGGCATGGAGTTCCCGTTGTCTCCCACGGAAGGTGTGACAAGGAAAGAGTTAACTCAGTTCTGGGCTCTGCCTGCTTCTGTGGCCTGGTTTGGCCTTTCCTTCCTTTTCTAGGCCCCCTTCTCTCCCCTGGCTCTCACACACTCTTTGCAGCTGCCTCCCAAACCAGTCCTGCAGTCTGATGAAAGTTCCAGAGCAGGTGGACACAGATGAACACTCTGGTCACAGGTGAGAGGGACCCAAAGGCCGAGCAGGCCTTTGGGGTGCAGTCCATCCCTTTGTTACCTGGCTCCCCGTGTCTCTGTCTGCTCCCGTATCTTCCTTCTGTCCCCTGTCATGAAATCAGACCTAGCCTCTACTGTGCAGGCATTCATACCTGGGCTCTGCCTTCGGCAGGCTGATCACATGGAGCATTCAGTCTGGCTTGTCCTTGCTTCCGTGTTCTTCCTCAGTTCTCTCCAGCCTTCCTTCTCCTTGGCTTCCATGATTTATCTTTAAAGGTAGCCCGAGTTTCCCCCTTTACTGCATCACCTGCAGTGCCCCCCAGTAGTCTGTTCTGGTCTTCTTTGTCTCTCCTCACCCATTCTCAGCCCTTCACCCTCTGTCTGTGCCCAGCCTGGCTACCTTGACAGCATCTTTATCTCTTGCTCTTTTTGGCTCTGGCTCTAAGCTTTCCTGGGCTTCTCCACACATCCCCTTCTTCCGGTGTGCTCCTCTCTGGACTCTACTGATCCCTTCATGGCTGTTCAAACCCGTTCTAGGGAGAGGGGTGGTTTTAGAGAGGGAGAAGGGATGAGGGTGTAAAGAGGAAGTGTGGGGACCTGGGCTCTTCCTGTGGCCTCCTTATGATCAGGATCTCTTTCTTTTCCCTGTTTCCTCTGCTTGAGCCATCCCTGGGTTTCCTGTCTATTCTGATTAGGATGCTCCTTCTTCCTTATCACACTCTGTTCTTTCTCCCCTGCTGTTTCTGCTATTGCTGTCCTCTCATTTTCAGTACAGGGCCCATGCTCTGGTTGCCTCTCTCAGCAATTAGAACCCAGGGAGAGCTGGTGAACAGGAATCAGGCCACACGCAAATGTGTCTATGGGTATTGCTGATGGGAGATTCAGTTCAGGGCTGAACTAGGTTCCTAGAGACAATACCATTGTCTTGTCTCTCAGACCCACATCCCTACCCCTTCCTTCAGCCCCAACTGTGGCAGAATGCCAAGGGAACCAGTCTTGCTTAGCTGGAGAGGACTTGCTTGTTCTTTTTTTTTTTTTCTACTTCCAGACCCTTCAATGATTTAGTTCCCCTGCTTCCAAAATCTGGTCCCTTTGTTGCCTGCTTCCTCTTGAGATGGCTTGCCAAAGCCCATTTTCGAGCTGCTGCAGAGGTAAAAAGCCTTGCAAATGGAAGTCTCAGTGGGGAATATGAAGGAGAAGAAATCAGCACCAAAGACTATGGGTCTGGTTCTTGGGAGGATGGGGAGAAAGAAAAAAAAAAGGTAGGCCGAGGCCACTGTCCTCCTGCTTATGTGGGAGGGACATGGGTCACTGCAGGTGGCTATGTTTGGAAGGGCATGTGACTACATCTGTGATCCTGTGTCCTCCCAGAGACCTGCCTAGGATGGGGTCTAAGGGGACATTACCACATCTGCCGAGGGGGTCATACTGCCACTGACTGAAGAGTCACTGGTCAGTCCCTATATTCCAGGCCTCCTCCCATGGGCCAGCTCTGGATTTTATCAATGTGGGGTACTGATTAGAGCGGGCACGAAAGTGTGTGATGAATGGACTCAGTGCTCTGGATGAGCTCAGGGTCTCCTCTAAATCCTGTTTCAACCTGACAGGCACTGGGCCTGGGGAAAGGTTGAAAGCAGAGGTGTGTCCTTTTTGCTATGTTCTGCTGGAGGGGGATCCATGGACCAATGCTGTGCCAGCTCAGAGCTTCACAGGGTCCTGGGGGAAGGCCTTCACCTCTGAAGAGGCCCCTCCCTCTTCCAAGCCCCACCTCCCTACCCCAGAGCCCCAGGGTTGGAAGTCAGCAAAGAAGAGACTAGAGGCAGGGTCTTGGCTTCAAAGAAAATTGCTTTATTCTGTTTCCTCCTAAGGGAAGTTACAAAGGCTTCCAGATCTGAGGGCTTCGCAGGCACCCTGAGGGCCGGGCAGTTCAAGATCTACTCCTCATTCAGGCCCTTTTGAAATAAAACAAAGTACAAATTAGCTCTGGGGTAGCCAGCACCCTGAGGACAGTGCTCGGAAACTGAAGTTGAAACTTGGGCTTCTGGTCGGTGGAGCCCCTGTGTGATCTGGCGGGAGCCCCTGTGTGACCTGGCGGGAGCCCCTGTGTAGGCATGGATGTATTTCCAGGGATCAGTTGAGGAGGGAAAAGTTCTGGAGAAAAGGGTACTTGAGTAGGTTAGAGGCAGGCTGCCTCTGTGAGATCAAGTGGGATATTCTTTTCGTGTTTGAGTTTTAAGGTTAGCAGCCGAACTGAACTGGGAACCAGAAGCTGGTGGTTGGAAGGAACTGGATCTAAAGGGTGTATATAAACTGGGGCTGTGTCGGGTTTCTGACTCCGCTTGCTCTGGGATGCCCAGAATCACTGAAAATGAGAAGAACCTTAGAAAAGTCCCTGGGGACTCATTGCCTTAGCCTTTGGGACTTTGTGGGTCAACTAGGGAACATACTACACGGTATCGTCTGAGGGGACAGAGTCATCGCGTGGGCTGTGGGAGGTGACAAGCCAGGTCCAGAGGAGGAACCCACCTTGGCACCAATGTCACGGCTCTTGGCCCGCAGCTTGTTGACCTGGGACTCGGCGATGTCTGCCCTCTCCTCTGCCTCATCCAGTTCGTGCTGCACCTTGCGGAACTTGGACAGGTTGGTGTTGGCCTGCTCCTCCTGTGGGCAGGCAAATGGGATGGATAAGAAGGGACCTGGTCTCTTAGCCTTCCAGTCTTGGGGACAGGCACACTGTGTCCCTCCTCCAGGCTTCAACCCCAGCGAGGTCACTCACCGCCTCCTCAGCCTGGCGCTTGTACGCCTTCACCTTCAGCTGCAGCTTGTCGACCAGGTCCTGCAGCCGCAGTAGGTTCTTCCTGTCCTCCTCTGTCTGGATGGCGGGGGACGGCCAGAGGTGAGAGGGCACAGTTCGAGGAGGCAGCACCCACCCTGGCTTCCCTTGACTTCTTCATCCTGAATGCTATATTCTGAACCAATGCTACTCTCTGGTCCTCACAGAATACTTGAAATTTGCTTATAATCTCTCACCCAGGGAGCATCTTATTGAGACGTGGACTCTCTCTGCAGCCCAGGCTAGTCACACACATGATCCTCCTGTCTCAGTTTCCTGAGTATTAGAATCATAGGCATGTGCCACTAAGCTCACTTCTAATGTGAATATTTTTAAATCATTATATAATGAAAGAACCCAATGAGGTAATGGGATTCCTGAAAGAGTACAGTGACTTATGTGTATTGTCCCAGGGAGCAGGCTCCTGAGGCCCTGGAACAGCACGGAGCATAAGCCCACTGGCTCTGGGCCCAGCATGTGCCGGGAGTGACTCCGGGGTTGTGAGCATGATGGAATTTCCTGGATTGCAAGGGGCTGACACGAACTTGAGCTAGGCTAAGGACAAAGTGTGCTCGGAGGGCGCAGCCTGCTAGACTGAGTCACAAATTCTAATGGAGAGTCGGAAAGCTGGGTTCATATTGCTCTGGGTACCTGAAAAGTTTTGAGATTTATTTGAATGGCTTTGGGGTCTTTGATAGCAAGCTTGGCTATAAATTATCTTCTGGGGAAAGGCATTGCTGGTTGAAACTGTGCCTGTCTAGAGCACATCTCTGGTAAATGACCTGAGGGTGCATGTCAAGGTGGAACACACAGGCTATAAGGCTCAACCACTAACCTCTGGGCCAGGGGACAAGAGTTGGCCATGCTAGGGCAGAGTGAAGAGCGCCCAGGGGCGGCACGCCAACTATGGCTAGGAAGAAGTAGCAACACCTCTCCGTTCCCCTTGGTTGCTTGGCATTGTGGCTGTAGGACATTGTGCAAAGGCTGGGATCACAGTATTCTCCCGACCTGGTAGGTGAGCTCCTTGATGCGCCGCTCGCTCTTCCTCATGCCCTTCACCGACTCTGCATTGCGCTTCTGCTCAGCCTCTAGTTCATTCTCCAGCTCCCGAACCCGGGCCTCCAGCTTCTGCAGCTGCTTCTTGCCACCCTTGAGAGCGATCTGCTCGGCTTCGTCCAGCCGGTGCTGCAGGTCCTTGATGGTCTGTTCCATGTTCTTCTTCATGCGCTCCAGGTGGGCGCTGGTGTCCTGCTCCTTCTTCAGCTCCTCCGCCATCATGGCGGCCTG